GCCATGAACTGTATATGTGCATCTGTTTATAGTCTTGCAACAATAAACTCGTATGCAAATTCGCGCGATTATATAACTGTCAAATATATTATTTATCAGTTCAACTGCCTAGGTAATTATCGAAAATTCTCGCCTCTGATTGGTCAAGCGACCTCAGATAGCCAAGCACGTAAGCGGAACTTTCAAAATATCGGCGAGTTACTTGCGTCAGACAAAGAGACAAATGATGAAGTTAGTATTTCTATACAGAAGCTGTCCCTAAGCGAAGAAATAAGCGAAAAATAGCTTTGAATTATTTCGAAACGAGAAACTGCGTTGTATAACGGTGTTATTTCACAAAAACAGTTTATTATAATAAATATATATCTCATATATATATATATATATATCTCCGTGAAATTGTCGAGATACTTGTTCACTTTTGCAGATTGGTTTCTCGAAGAATAACCTTTGTATTTATACCGTAAAACAATTATTCACCTCAGGTTCACCGAATATTATACACTATAATGTATGCTCCCGAGAGAAAAAGTAAGTTTTGTGTTCCCAAAGAGTCTGAATGTTTGTCGAAGAAAATATTGAGACTCGAGGGAAAACAAAACTCACTATTTCCCAAAGTAGTGTACATTAAGTGCTTTGTTATATAGGAACAAAAACATACATGTTACACAGCAATTTCATTTCAAAAAACATTTTACTTTATCTTTGTTATGACAATATGTGGGCAGCAATTTTTCACTTGTTTCCTTCGCGGGAAACATTGCAATTATTTAAAGTCATGTGACTACGAATGAACCAATCACATTTAAATTACACAGCACCTATATAACAACACTGAAGACAAACCGGTTCATTATTCAGTGATATTCACATCACCTTGGCCCTTTGGCGAAAATAATGGTTAATTATAGCATCATTATCCCACGTAACTGCATATTTATGTAAACAATCCGGTTCAAATTGCGGAAGAGAGAAAGGGCTGCTTTCCACTGTCGCGTTTTCTGCACGTACATAAGTTTAAAATCATTTAAATGATGCGCATATAAAATCTACAAAATAATAGATGCATAGGGTTGGAGTCTGTTGAAGATTTAGTATGTTTTTTCTCGCATAAAATTAAACACACAACAACTTCGAAGTTTTTACTTTTACGTGGGCGAAGATTCGCCGTTAAGCCGGTTTTCCACTAGGCGAAATTTTCGATCGAACGAAATTTTTCGCTCGATTTCATTTTCAACTGTGAAAAATCGACCGTGGCGGAAAATTTCGTTCGATCTAAAAATATCGCCAAGTGAAAACTAACTTAACATGCGTAAATTCACCGCAACAATTGTTTATTGTCACGGTCTAATGTCAGGAGACACGATCATCCATGTGATCGCATTCTCTCCTGAAGTGAATAGTTCCTGCTGCAGATTGATACTTGATACTGAATGTTTAGAATTGCAGTCTTATAGTTTACGCTTTTGACAACTTTCATTCCTTCTGTGTGCAAAATCTTGTTTTCCAGAAAATATCAAGCAGTTAAATGTTGCATTCATCGAGCCAATGGTTTGAGCCCACCAAAAAGGTGCAACATCTAAAGTCATTGTTTCTCTTTCGAGCTAATCCTAGTCCAATGTAGACAAACGTTGAATGGACAGCGCCACAAAGCAAACGACTGCTAGCAAGCAATTTGATATATTTTTGGAAAAATGCCTTTCTAGTATTTCTTTCGTTTGATTCCTCAATTTTTCCACGACTTTTCCTTGCGATTTTTAACAGCTTGTAGTTCATGAATAACATCGGAGAAGCGAAAATAAGGAAGAAAATTAGAAGATACTCTTGGATAGATATGAACCCGTTTAGAATCATCAGCGATCAAACTATTTGAACAGATATCAGCGTTACAAGAAGCGTCAAAAGTTTACCCTTCGTTACAGATGTTCGATGAATGAACGGGTAATATGTCGCCAAATATCGATCAAATGTCATGACCAACAGAGCGAGCATGGAAAAAATGATAAAGACAGACGACAGAATGCGCGCCAACCTACCACCAATATAATTTCCAGTCAACCATAACATCACCTTATAAGCTATAATGGAGTGATTGGTTACGACCGCAAGCAAATCGCAACAGGACAAAACCATGATCATGAAATAACATAATTTCTTTCCAAGTTGCGCTGATCTCCAGAAACTGATTATCACCAAGCAATTTAAACATATTCCTGAGAGAAAGAAACATATGTTGACAAAGAACAGGAATATCAGGTGAAAAAATATCTGAACTCCATCAGTTGCAAAAGGTTCAAGCAGTTTTATGATCTTTTTTTTAACCAATTTTTGAAGCTGCCTTGAAAACTGTTTTACCGCTGTCTGTCAGGCGTATTCGACTTCTTTGTAGTTTTCTATACATAAATTAAGTTGTCATGTGAATATCAGGGCCAATATCATGCACATTATGGTGAGTACATGATGTCCCAAATCTACGACGCGGACGTGAGCTCATACTGTCGTTATTTGCACAATTTCACAATATATGCAGAGGTAAAATTATAGACTGGTTGTGGTAAACAAAGTGTGAGCCGCATGTGAAAACGCAGGTATGCGTGCGCGCAGAAAAGTGAATTCCGATATTCTTTATATTTCAGAAAGCTCGTCGTCGAGTACACATTAAATGATACAGAAAACTAACCACAAACGCCAACGAACAAAAATTTTCGGCTTAGAGGCGATATGTGTTTGAAACTCCATGCACAATTAATGCTTTTACGCAAGAAAGAGAATATATTTAACAAAAAAGATGAACGAAAATTCTGCCAAGAAAGTTCGGCCAAAACGTGCACGTACGAAAAACGCGCTGGTGGAATTAATCCAAAAAACAATTATGTTATAATATTTGCTTAAGTACATATTTGAAATTTTATATCGTTCAGACACGGAATATAAATAAATGTAAACATGAAAGTAGTTCAATATATAAATATCCGTTTCCGCATTTATTAGTATACGCAGTTTAGGATTACAACCCAAGATATCCAAAGTGGCAGGAAAGGAAAATTTATCAATTAATTTAAAAATATAATTTTATTTAAGAACACTTTGAGCAGGGCTCGCCTGATGTGTTTGTCCCTCTCGATATGTTGTGGCTTAAATGTTTCTCGAAGTGCCCTATATAGAAATTAAACGATTAACGATTAACTAACTTTAATATTTCGATTATCACAGAAACACAAGAAGTAGAAATATTTAAAGCGGAAGTCAACTTCTGTGGGTTTGTTTAGCTCATGACAATGTGAAGGCCTTGCATGTAATAATGCTCAAATTTCTCTACTACAAAAATTTACTTGAATGTTTATAAAATCCACGTTTATTTATAAGCGAGAAGGCGAGATGGCGCACGAAATTTGGACAGCATGTCGTAACATGGAGGAAATTCGTTTTCACTGACCGGAAATTTGACCAAGCAAATCAGAATGCCTAAATTTTTACTACTTCATGCAGTGGCATGGCTAAATCGTGAATAGCATGGGGGTGTTTATTCATATATCTATTTTCTCGACAGATTCCTATTGTGAACAATTGCGCTTACCAAAGAGATCTGCTCGGCAGAACTGAATAGATGAATAAACACCCCCAATTATCGTTCTAGCCACGCCACTGAGTTCATGCATGGAAAATGGTAAATAATGTGACTTTTAACCATAGATAATATAAATTTATGCAATCTGATTGGGTTACTGAAAATGCAAACAACGAATGGCTTAATTCTAATTGGGTCTAATAATGTTCTATAATTATTTTATCAAACAATTACGTAATTCATCCTTTTGGCTGCATTGTGGCTAATTAAATAAATCTAAATCTATTTATCTTAAACGAAATTCCTCTTCGTTGTACATCTTGAAAAAAAGAGGTTGTTCCAAAGGCTTCAAGCAATTTTATGATGGTTTTTTCGAACAATTTTTGAAGCTGCCGTAAAAAGTGTTACCGTTAAACTGTTTTACCGCTGTCTGTTTCATGTATATTCGCACTTATTTGTAGTTTTCTACACATAAACTAACGTCGATCATGTGAATATCAGGGCCAATATCAAGAACGTAAGTGAGTATATATGATGGGCCAAATCTACGACGCGCACGTGAAGTCATACTGCCGTTATTTCCAGTTTCACAACAGGGGCCGGTTGTACGAAGGCTGGATAGCGCTATCCACCGGTTAGTGATTTTTTCAACCGTTCTAAAAATGCTTGAAAAGCAACAAAATTTTAGCTTTGGAAGCAACAATTATTATAGAGGATCCTCAATTTAGGAACACTAAGGTTTAATCAAAGTTTCAGCTAACAACAGGCGATTTTAGAGCGATGGGAAAATCTACTATCCGGTGGATAGCGCTATCCGGCTTTCATACCACCTGCCCCAGAAGTAAATTACATGGGACAAAACCATGATAATGAAATTCCCCAATTTCTTTCGAAGCCGCGCGGATCTTCAGAATGTTAGTATAACCATAAAATTTAAACATATTCCTGAGACAAAGAAACATAGGTTGACAATGAACACGACAATTAAGTTGAGAAAATAAATTACTCCGTAAATTAAGCGAGTGAACAACATAATAAATTATACAGTTGCTATGAACGAACTGTATATGTGCATCTGTTTAAAGTCTTGCAACAATAAACTCGTATGCAAATTCGCGCAATTATATAACTGTCAAATATATTGAAAATTGAATAGGTTTACTGCATATAGGTATTTCTCGCAGACAGTCGGACGATATATATTTGAAGATATATCCCCATTTAATTGGAGATTGAAGGGACCACCGTTGTTTCTGAATTAAGCTATATACAGTATGTTAAGAGACAAATGTACAACTGCACTTACTGATACTGTTAAAATGTTGTACTTAAAGAGTAAAAAACGACGTGCTTTAAACAAATATTCGTTCAGTTCTGTGATGAAATAATGATACCATAAAATACACTACCAGCTTTAGTGCAAATGGCACACGCACATTTCAGCTGTAAGCGTTAATTGCATAGCAACGGTAACAACGTTTAGACTGTCATTTTCAACAGATTTTTATGCTCTTAATAACTTTCATTCCCTCGGTGCGTAAAATCTTGTCTTTCCAGTAAAAGATCAAGCAGTTAAATGTAGCATTCATTGAGCCAATGGTCCTTGCCCACTTCCCAGGCAGCTGTGCTCCATCAAAAGTATTCATCTTCATCTTCGAATTCATACTTAATCCACAGTAGACAAATACTGGAGTGGACAGCGCTACGAAACAAGCGACTGCTAGCAAGCAACTCGATATGTCTTTTAAAGACGACGTGTTTCTTCTATCGGGCGATATTCGTCTATGTGCACGACTTTTCTTCGCGATTATAAACAGCTTGTAGTTCATGAACAACATCGGCGGAGCGAAAGTAATGAAAAAGGTGAGGACAGCAACATGGAGGGGGATAACAGAGTTTAAAGTCACCAGTATCAAAACGAGTAGGAGAAAAAGCAGTATCGCAAAGAGAGTTAAAAGTTTTCCCTTCGTTACAGATGTTCGATGAAAGATTGGATGATATGTCGCTAAATATCGATCAAAATTCATCACCAGAAGAGCGAGTATGGAAGGACCTAAGAAAACAGCTGTTAGCGCTTCAACATTGTTGGTCCAGCTAACCCCAATATCATTTCTATTTCCGGTCAACCAAAATATCACAATATAAGCCACAAACGAATGATTTGTGAACGCCGAAAACAAATCGCAACAGGACAAAACCATGATCATGAAATAACACAATTTCTTTCGAAGCTGCGCTGATCTCCAGAAACTGATTATGACCAAGGAATTTAAACATATTCCTGACAAGAAGAAACATATATTCACAACAAACAGGAATATCAAGTTGAGGTATTTCATATCCGTCATATTAAAAATTCAACCCGCGTTCATATACTGGATTGCGTTTTAGTATTCCAGCTGTATCGTTATCTCAAGGATGCCGTATAGCTGAGCGAACTACTGCTTTGTACCCAGATTGCGAATATGAAGGACCTGCAGGGAATACAGAACGTTAGCCGTAACACTTATAAATAAAGTTTGACTTTGATATATACTGTAGATTAATTTTGTGCGAAGCATGAGATTCGGTATTCATCATAAATTTGATGTATATTTTAAGAAAGCCGGAATCTATCAGCATACAGTCACGCGCTATGCTACATGTATTTCTCTGATATCTCCCTCCAAACTCTCTAATCTGATTCAAAGTTGTATACCAGATCTCCTTTTTAAGGAAGTTATTTACGGGATCGACGAATTTCGTTTTACTTTAATGCGAAATAGGCGGATGGAGTGCATATAGCTATGGTAAACATATAGTAGCCCTCTTAACTCAGTCCGAATGAAATTTAACAACTTAACTTACCGGTAAACTATGTTTTGTGAGTTTTTTCACACCAGATCGCTCTGTACCTTCTTTCGATGTCCTGTTGTGGCCTGATGTAACATTTTGAAATTATAAAGAAAGCATTCATTCGGCAACATCTGTCAGCATAGAGTGTGCATGGATCATCTGTTCAGCAGTTATAAGTTTGCAGTTTTGGAAAACAACCTGACATGTCTCAAGAGGGTTGAGGGGCTAAAAAATGAAAAATGTCATATATTAACACAATCAAATGTATCCCAGTTGGAGCTCGCACTTTGCAATCACATGAGATGGCTATATTTTGAGCATTGCGCTTCTAATGTACCAAAAATAACAAACAGGAAAATCAAGTTGAGAAAATATCTGAATACAATCATTTGTCATATACAAACTCTTCAAAGTAATAAATATAATGCAAATTTGAGTGTTAAATTTATTATTCATTGTGAAATTAATAAAAAATTATCATTAATCTAACTTCCAATCATTGAGCAGTATTTTGGTCACATGTATACATCTGTAATTCTCCACGACGGTCTTATGAATTAGTGATTCATATATTATGAATAAGTGATCATATATTAAATAAGTGATCATATAAATTAGTGATTCATATATTATGAATTAGTGATTCATATATTATGAATTAGTGGTTCATATATCATGAATAAGTGATCATATATTATGAATTAGTGATTCACATATTATGAATTAGTGATTCTTATATTATGAATTAGTGATTCATATATTATGAATTAGTGATTCATATATTAAATTTGATACAACTATTTAATTAGTATTATTATGCATTACTAATGCAATCTCGATTGTGATTGGCTAAAAACCTACAGATAATTCTCAATGTCTTGCCACCTACACGACATTGAAAATTATCCGTAGGTGACGTAATTTTTTGCCGCTATAGTTTATTGTCAATAATGGCGTAGGCTTCCTCTCTAAAAAGGAAATACATAATGAAACAATAACGCAAACTTCGGCTTGATAATTCTAGATATCAGACTCAACCTCATCCAATAATTGTTAATTCATAACTTTGTTACACACATGCCTAATATGCATAATATGCATTAAGCTTAATTTATTCATTTCACAAGCACGTTAAAATACTCGCGGCTGATCTGTATGGGATTTACAATTGTAAATACGAATAAAGCTCAGCCGCTCGTATTTTTTGACTAGTACTAAAACGTGCTCAGCAAAAGCAATATTCTTAACTTAGTGAATAGACTCCACAGATAATAAACTCTAATACTATGTCTAAAACAGTTCCTAATACTATGTTAATCGCAGAATAACATACAATCTGTAAGCAGTTTATAGACATTTCGACCTCCGTCTAAGAATTGTTTATTGTCACGGTCTAATATCTAGAGACACAATTAATCTATGGGATCACATTCTCCTCCAAAGTGAAAGGTTCCCGCTGCAGACTAATACTTAATTGAACGTTTTGAGGGTTTCTAAAGAGTTTTATGCCTTTTACAACTTTTATTCCTTCTGTACGTAAAATCGGGTTTTTCCAGTAAAAGATCAAGCAATTGAATGTTGCATTCATTGAGCCAATGGTTTGTGCCCACATTCCAAAAAGGTGTGCCACATCTAAATTCATTGTTTCCTCTTTCGAGCTAATCCTTAGTCCAATGTAGACAAACGTTGGAATGGACAGCGCCACAAAGCAAACGACTGCTAGCAAGCAACTCGATATATTTTTGGGAATAAATGCCTTTCTAGTATTTCTTTCGTTTGATTCCTTAACTTTTGCACGACCTTTCCTTGCGATTTTTAACAGCTTGTAGTTCATGAACAACATCGGAGAAGCGAAAATACAGAAGAAAATTAGAAGATACTCTTGGAAGAAAATGACGCCGTTTAGAATCATCAGGGATAAAACTATTTGGACAGACATCAGCGTTACAAGAAGCGTCAAAAGTTTTCCCTTCGTTACAGATGTTCGATGAATGAACGGGTAATATGTCGCCAAATATCGATCAAATGTCATGACCAAAAGAGCAAGCATAGAAAAAATGATAAAAACAGACGACAGAATGCGTGCCAATTAACCTACCACCAATATAATTTCCAGTCAACCATAACATCACCTTATAAGCTATAATGGAGTGATTGGTTACGACCGCAAGCAAATCGCAACAGGACAAAACCATGATCATGAAATAACATAATTTCTTTCGAAGCTGCGCTGATCTCCAGAAACTGATTATGACCAAGGAGTTTAAACATATCCCTGAGAGAAAGAAACATATGTTGACAAAGAACAAGAATATCAGGTGTAAAAAATATCTGAGCTCCATCATCAGGGGTTCCAACCAAACGGAGAAAAATATATCTGATGCAAGTACTTAATTTTTCCGAATTTGTCCAATGTAGATTTTACTGAGTTAAGATTCCTATGGACGTTAATAGCCATCTACCCTTGTACGAGCCTGGATTTAGATCTCGCAATTATAATGAAAATAATTTCTATTTCCTCTTGAAGCATAAACAACAATACTTTAGAAACTCGTTCTTTGTTAGATCTGCAAGTCTGTGGAACAGTCTACCAGCAGATCTAAAAACCTGTGGCTCGCTTAACTCTTTCAGAGTTAGTATTCGTAATTATTATGTTTCTAAGTTAACTTCTTACAGCCCTCCTGGCTTTACTTAGATTTATAAGTTATAACTTAAAATAAGTGTTATTTGTGTAATATAAAGTCCAGTTATAATATTGGGGTCAGGTGTCAATTGGGACGCAAGTCCTGTTCCTTTCCTCTGTCACACTTATGTCCTCTGTTATCGTACATGTATATGCGTAATAATTGTATTGTGTTGTGACAAAATGATTAAATGATTAAATGATTAAATGATTAAATGATTATACGCAGCCCTCTGGCCTCTTGAGCTCGCCAGTAATGGCCACAGGTATGACTGAAATTTACCAGCTTTACGTCCTTATTCAATGCCTTAGTTGTGGCTTGATACTATTGTATCTTGAAAGTTTAAATGTTCGAAGAAGCCGTTTATTTATAACATTTACATACATAGTCGAACATCTGTTTCTGCGGATAATAGTGACGAAAACTGAAAACATATGGTTAAACAACTCCGCGGTAGTCCTGCACGAATAGTTCAAACAAGGTGATACTAAAAAATCCTGAAACGGTGCTCATCCAAACGTAAACGTATTTCCGCAAATGTTTAGAAAATAATATATATATATATATATATATATATATATATATATAATATAATATATAATATATACATTATATATATATATATATATTATATAATATATATAATATATATATATATATATATATATATATATATATATATATATGAATACGTTAAATGGTTTCCAAAAACTGTCCCACAGGAGAAATATCTTATTTACAGTAAAACTATAGGCAGCCTTGTGAATGCAGCTACGTCATACTCATGCATATATAATTGTTCTAAGATGCTTCCCATGCATGCGTTCACGCGTTTCTCTTACGCACTTTCATGCACGGCATATTTAAATGCTTAAAGTTAAACGTCAACAATTGCATACTAATATATGCGGAAAACTAAGTTATAAAATAATAAGTTTTTTTATTTATTTCCCTTATGTACAATTTTATGAATATTACAAATGATTTTATTTTATTTGAATAATGTTAGGCTAGAGACCTACTAGAAACCTATACAGGCTTTTGTGTACTATTTGTATACTATTTTAAAAATGTCCACTGTAAAACATGAATAATCACAAAAATGATTTCTTATAGTACTATTTACAAAGAAAAGGGAAGCGAGTGAAGAGTAATGGAGTAAGAATAATTGCAGTCCAGATATAACTCAAGAAGTCATATTTTTTATAAAACAGTAGGTATATAACGCCTGTTCTGATTGGTCGAAGCCCGTGTTTGGATCAGGCCATTTCCAAACATGGAAATTTAATTCACTTTTTGAAATCAAACTTGGAACACTACAATCAGTGACATAAATATTGGACCGCTTAGCCTGGAAAGGCAACATTTTCCCCCTCCCCCCCTTTTTCAATGTTGTATGCCGAAATAAAACCTTCACGGGGCAAGCCATTGCCTTGGATTTGTTTGCCAACATTTTTTTCACCAGAAAAAACAACATTGAAACGGGGGAGGGGGGTTACGAGTTAATTTTCTAAGATCACGTAAAAATGTACTCTGTCTATACAAGTGTCCCAAATTTTAATGTCACTGATTGTACCTTGTTGTTTTTATTTTATAAAACAATTACTTAATGGTTCCCGTGTTTAGATGAAATGATCCAAACACATGGGCAGGGCCGTAACTAGAACGATAATTGGGGGGGGGGGGGTGTTTATTCATATATTCAGTTCTGCCCGACGGATTTCCATTGTGAGCTATTGCACTTACAAAAGAAATCCGTCGGGCAGAACTGAATATATGAATAAACACCCCCTCCCCCCAATTATCGTTCTAGTTACGGCCCTGCACTTGGGAATGTTGCTTCAGTTAAGAAAAGCTCTCAAAATCACTCGACTTCGGCTCGTGTTTCGCGCGCTTTTCCCGCGCGTGTTTGAATTAGGCCATCCAAACGCGGAAACGATTAAGTAATTGTTTATTCTTTCGACCTATTCATATGGTTTTAGGTTTTTCGAACTAACTTGAGGATTTTACCAGCCTACCTTTAGTGATACGTTTTACTTGGAAATTTTAACAAAATCTCCTGACCAGCGACTGTTTTCAGTACCAGTGGGAATTAATACTGATATCCGAGCTCACAAGCGAGCATCACCTCAAGACTCAGGCGATTTGAAATGAATATAGCGCTTATCATGCACAGAATAGCTGCTTCATATTATAGCTACTTCACTAAGAGAGTTTACTCGGCTAAAGTGTTTAATTATAGGCTGTTTATAGATATGAAGTTACTCTATATAATATATATCTTCAAAAGTTCATTTAAATTTATTTGTATGAAATAAAACACATGCAGGCATATATATGTAATTTGTTTTACAAATTAATGTTAGAATATTTAAATCTTCATAGAATACACTCAATTTCAAGCAAACATTTC